CTCAGTATTGGCTCGCATACAGCCAGAACCCATAAGCCTTGGATTTACTTTTACTGCACTTGGAAGCAGGTGGAAATACAATAATCTTCCTAGAAGTATGTGGAGGTTCCCTTTAAAACAGAATTTCACGTGAAGGCTCTGGGGAGGGTCTGTAGTCAGGTGTCCTGTACCTTCTTCATTCTCATCTGTCACCACCAATCTGCAGTGATGAGCCGAGGTCTGGAAAGTCATGGGCCATCAAGCAGAACTGAAACCATGCTCAGCACATTGCACTTACTAACGCAGAAAAGTGGCTGGTGCATTTTTAGGAATAAGATATAAAATAATGGCCCTAGCTCAGAGGTTGGCAAACTGTGGCTCGCGAGCCACATGTGGCTCTTTGGTCCCTTGAATGTGGCTCTTCCACAAAATACCACGTGCGGGCGCGCACGTACAGTGCGATTGAAACTTCGTGGCCCATGTGCAGAAGTCGGTTTTCGGCCTGGGCGAGCCTATTTTGAAGAAGTGTTGTTAGAAGAAATGGAGGGTGTCTGTCAGGCGGGCGACGGGAGACGTGGCGCAGGCGGGCCGCGGGATTCAAGTTGAGTGAGACTGGCTACAAGACGAGTGTGGATGGGAGAGTTGGAAGGGGTCGACCTCAGCGAACGTACCTCAATCAGATTGAGGACATTTTTAGCAAAGGCCAGCTTAGGAGTACCCTACTTAAGTAAATAACTATGTACCTACCTATATAGTTTAAGTTTAAAAAATTTGGCTCTCAAAAGAAATTTCAATCGTTGTACTGTTGATATTTGGCTCTGTTGACTAATGAGTTTGCCGACCACTGCCCTAGCTGGTTTGGCCCAGTGGATAGAGTGTCAGCCTGCAGACTGAAGGGTCCTGGGTTCAAGTCCAGTCAAGGGCACATACCCAGGTTGCGAGCTCGATCCTCAGTAGGGGGCATGCAGGAGGTAGCTGATCAATGATTCTCACCATTGATGTTTCTCTCTCTCTCCCTCTTCCTTCCTCTCTGAAATCAATAAAAAATATATTCTAAAAAAGAAAAGGAGCTGGGCTTCTGGGCTTGCCTCTGCTAAGCCACCAGCTCGGTGATGTTGGAGACTGTCACCTCTTGGTTGCATTTCGTTGTCCAAAACTTGGGGTGGGCTGGCTCGTCACCAAGGGCTCACCCGCTCTAACATTCTCTACTTCCAATTATAAGACTATTTTTATATCTGTTCTCCCTCCACCCCTGTAATTTGGAAGTATAAATGAGAACCTAAAACAATTCAACCTCTTCCTGAGGGGTGGACAGTTGGACTTTATACATTTCTTCCCATAGGCTTCCCATCACGAATCAAAGAGAATGGCCAGCCTTTCTAGTCTCCCTCCTCAATTGGCAGAAGCCATATTTTCCATTTTTATTTTTTAGGACTGATGATGCTTCCCTCTCCGCCCTCATTTTGGGGGAATGTTCATGTAGTACAAAATTAAATAGATATGTAGGGATGGCCAGTGCTGGTCTCTCTCTTACCCTGTCTCCTGGTCGCCTCATCCTTCTCCGTATGGGCATCGAGTGCTGTGTACCCAAGCAAGTATGTCTATATTTCTTCTTCTTCTTTTGAACCCAAATGGTACTTATGAACTTTGAAGTTCAAAAATAAATAAATAAAATAAATAAAGCTTGAAGATCATCCTGTTTTCTGTGCAAGAAGATCTTTGTCCTGTCACTAGCTGTATTGTACTCCAGAAGGAGATGCACTGTAATTTGCCTAACCAGCCCTGTCTGGATGGGCATTTAGCTTTTCCATCTTTTGCTGTTATAACCAGTGCTGCAGTGAAAGCTGTATGTACATGATTTCCATAGATTTGGTTATCTTTGTAGGATAAAGTCCTAGAAGAGGAATTACTGGGCCAGGGGGCGGTGCAGTTATACCTTTGGTAGGCATGGCCTGATTGCAGTCCATAGGGATCAACCCACCAGCAGGATATGAGGGCCATGCTGCCCTCCACTCCAGCCGCTACCATGCGTTATTGGGCTTTCTGATGTCTGTGACTCTACCAGGTTCCAAATGGCATCTCAGTTCACTTTCGATGTGCATTTATTTCTCTTACTAGGAGTGAGAATTTACTTGTCAGTGAACTCAGTCGTTTGCTCATTTTTCTTGCTCGGCAGCTTTGCTTCTGATTGTTGACTGTCAATGCTTGAAAATAGAAACACCATCCCCTTTTACAGAAACTTTCTTTGGTTCTTTGCCATCAGTCGAATAAAAGTCAACATTCTTTGGGTGGGGATTCAACATCCTCCAGAACCAGGATCCTGTCTTCTTTTTTCAACCTCATAGCCTCACGTCCTTTCTATTCTCTGGCCAAACCCAGCTGCTTGCTTGCCCCCCCAATGCATCTGCATTTCCCTGCCTTCTTGCCCCTACTTAAGCTGGTCATAGTACTTTCAGTGTCTTCCCTTTGCCTCTCTACTTAAAGAACTTCTCTTTCCCTAACTGGTTTGGATCAGTGGATAGAGCATCGGCCTGCGGACTCAAGGGTCCCAGGTTCGATTCTGGCCAAGGGCAAGTACCTTGGTTTCGGGCACATACCCAGTGGGGAGTGTGCAGGAGGCAGCTGATCAATGTTTCTTTCTCTCATTGATGTTTCTAACTCTCTATCCCTCTCCCTTCCTCTCTGTAAAAAATCAATAAAATATATTTTTTTAAAAAAAGAATTTCTCTTTATCCCTCAAAGCCCAAATGAAATATCATTCCTTCCATAACACTTGTCCTGGACACCCCGGTCAGAGTTATTTTCACCTGGGGCTGTGTTCCTTTAGGGCTGGTATATAGTTTAGACTGAGGACAGGCCAGGTTCTGCTTTGTGTTACAACTTTTTGTAAACACGATTCCTTGAAACCATCTTTCTTTCTTAGCCACCTTGGCCTCTCCCACATCCCTAAACCAGAAGTGAAGAAAGGGCTCCCTAGTTCATCCTTCTTTGGAGAAGACTACAGTGACCTTTTAAAAAAAATTGTGGTAAAAATATTCATAGTATAAAATGTTGCCATTTTAACCATTTTAAGTGTAGAACTCAGTGACCTTAGAGTACATTCACAGTGTTGTGCAACCATCACCCCACCACCCATCTCCAGACTCTTCATCTCGCAAAACTGAAAATGTGCCTGTTAAACAGTCATTCCTCTTTCTCCTCTTTCCCCAGCCCCTGGCAACTGCCATTCTACTTTCTGTGTCTATGAATTTAGACTACTCTAGGGACCTCATATAAGTGGAATCATACAGTGTTTATTCTCTTGTGACTAACTTATTACACTTAGTAAAATGCCCTTAAAGTTCATCCAATTGTAGCATGTGTCAGAATTTCCTTCCGTTTTGAGGCTGAATAATGTCCCATTGTGTGTAGATACCGCTTTTGTTTATCCATTCATCTGTTGATAGGCTCTGGGTTGTTTCCACCTTTTAGCTATTACAAATGATGCTGCTGTGTGGGTATATGTCTATGGACATATCTCTTCGAGCCCCTGCTTTTAACTCTTTGGGGTCTAATACACCCAGAAGTAGAATTGCTGGATCATATGGTAATTCTTGTGTAATTTTTTGAGGAATCACTGTACTGTTTTCCACAGCAGTTGCCCCATTTTACATTCCCACCAGCAATACACAGGTTCCTGTTTCTCTACATCCTTTCCAACACTTGTTTGTCGGTTTATTTGATAATATATTTTTATTGATTTCAGAGACGAAGGGAGAAGAAGAGAGAAATAGAAACATCAATGATGAGAGAATCATTAATTGGCTGCCTCCTGCACGCCCCACACTGGGGGTTAAGCCCACAACCTGGGCATGTGCCCTTGACTGGAATGGAACCCGGGACCCTACTGAGCCAAACCAGCTAGGGCTGTTTGTTTTTATAGTAGCCACACTGACGGGTGTGCCGTGGTCTCAAGTAAACATTTTGTGATTGTGTTTGGGGTGCCTGAATCACAAAGTCAGATTTAGGAGATCTCTCTTAGCACCTATACATCACACCCAAAACATTGCCTTGACTTCATGACCAAACTCTCCAGGTTTCTTCTGGAACAAATGTCCACATGGAAAGGGCTGGGTCATTTAGAGAACTAGATAAATAACCAGGCAAAAAAAAACCTCTCCTGGCACATGTTGCACCAGCCACGGTGAAAGGATCAGACAACACAGTCTGTGGTCCCTGCATGCCCGTGTGTGATTTGGAGCAGCAGCAACCTCCTGCTGGTCCATCCATCATGCGTGCTTGTCCTGGCTCAGAACTTACGGAGAAAATGAGGCCGGGTTGGAGTCCCCACCATGTTCTCTCTCGGGTGCACTTTGAGCTCTTCTCCAGCCCTCTGCTTTGGCTGCCGCTCTCCGGCATTTGCAGTCAGGACAATAGTTTGGAAATGTCTGAAGCCCGATTGTTCTCTTTTTCACTCAAAGGCAGACTCGTTGTGCCTGGATGTGTTATGAACTGGCTCCTCCGTTTGGAAACCAGCTCTGGAGTGACTGCCACGCAGTTTGAAAGGCACGTTCTGATCAGCAGATGCTACTGAGTCTGGGGAGAGAGTTAATGTGGCCTAATCTTCATGTGTATTTGTGTGTGTGCGAGTGTTGGTTTTTCTCCAATTGCTCAGTAGTGATTTCGACATCTTTTATCTTCCTCATTCGTCGCTTTATGGACATGGATTTTTTTATCCCGGGAAAATCATGATCCACATATCTCTCTATATAAAAGCCTAAGCAACCTTTACAAACGGAGGACTGGCTGGTAGCTATGATATGCACTGACCACAGGGGGCAGATGCTCAACGCAGGAGCTTCCCCCTGGTGTCAGTGTGCTCCCACAGCCAACCTCCCGCGGTCCCTCCCCCCGCCGGCTGGCCCTAATTGGCCCTGATCACCGGCCAGGCCAAGGGACCCCACCCATGTACAAATTCGTGCACCGGGCCTCTAGGCTGTTAATATGATCATTTTTAAACTTTATCTCATTTTTCTTTTCAGAATTTTGTGCCGTCTTGGGGCCGGCAGACCTCCCTGACGACATCAGTGATATCCAACACTGAGCAGAGCGTGGCTTACAAAGACTTCATTTATTTCACTGGCGTTGAAGGAAATGTTCGCAACATTTCTGAAGTCTCGGTTGAGTATTTGTGCTCTCAGCCTTGCGTTGTCAGTTTGGAAGCGGTTGTCTCATCCGAGTTCAGGAGTAGCATTCCTGTGTACAAAAAACGGTGGAAGAATGAGAAGCATCTTCACACCAGCAGGACACACTTGGTGCAGGTGAAATTTCCAAGCATCATGGTTTACAGAGATGACTATTTCATCAGACACTCCATTTCCGTGTCGGTGGTGATACTCCGCGCCTGGATTACTCACAGATACACTGGTGGAGACGTGAATGTTAAATGGGACGAAAACTTGCTACACGCTGTCGCGAAGAATTATACTCTGCTGAAGACGGTCCCGCCTTTTGAGCGCCCTTTCAAAGACCATCAAGTGTGCCTTGAGTGGAACATGGGTTATATTTGGAACCTTCAGGCAAACAAGATTCCCCAGTGTCCTCTTGAAAATGGTAGGTCACTTGCCTTGCCAGGAACCTAATTCATTTCTTCAGATAGCCTGTACCATAAGAGGGGCAGGGGAAAATTCTTATATTAGCAGTTGGGGGAGACTGAGGGAAATGGAGCCTGTACTTTTAGACTCTGGGGATGAAAGGGGAAAAGTGGAAAGGTGAGGTGAGGAGAGGAGAAAGAGCTGGAGAGAATAGGACTGAAGGTGAAAGAGAGAGAGGGACAGAGGGGCCATGGAAGAGGGACCTTGAGAGGTTTGGAGGTTTGAAGTTGGAAAGGAGCATTAATGCTACTGGAACAAGCATTGGGAAGATCTTCCTCCCGTCTCCCCTCAAACACCCCTCCAGCGTCAGTGAGCTTTAGTGCAGCATTGCTTCCCAGCCAAGCAGACCTGGCTTCCGCTCCTGGCTCTTCGACTTTCCTTCTGCCTGTGTAATTTTAGAACTCTTGGAGCCTCAGTTTTCCTCTCTGTAAAGTGGGAATACTAAATAACAATTCTCTCAGAGCAATGTTGTGAGAATTAAATGAGTTGTAATTTGCTTAGCACATAATGAGCATTCAGTGAAAAGTAGCCGTGATGATGGATGATAGAGTCCAAACTGCATTTTATCCTAAATGCCACATGGGCACAGCCTCTGAAGGATCCGTACACGCGGCTCCTGTGCCCTTCTTCAGTCTCCCTTAAGCACTGGCGTTGGACCTCTCTGACTATACACAGTTAGAAGAAGGGGTCTGAATATCGCTCTGTTGGTGACAGGAGTACCTTGCTCTGCTGAGTGTCTGCCAGCTCTTCTCTGTACCCTGCAATGGGAAGCCATCCTGGGCATGCTCCCAGGAACCACCCAGGTCTAGTAACGTTTCCCAAAGTGTGGCTCTAGGACACACTGCAATAGAATAAACCAGTCAGGACTCTAGCTGCAAATGCAAATTCCCAGCACCCATCCATACAGACTCAGTCAGACTCTGTGGGAGCTGGGCCCTGGAATCAGCATTTACACATTCTCATGACTGTTCTGATAGGACTCCAAGGTGTGAGAACCTCTGGACCAGGGCTGGAGCTGAGGGAACTTTGATCTAGAATTACTGTGGCCAGACCCAGGCAGGGTTGGTGGGTGGAGGAAATCCATGAGCCTGTGACCGCAGACCCTTCCACAGGAAGGGCCTGACACCTCCTGATCTTCTAGAGGACTGGTGCGGGGCAAGGTGGCTTAAGGACACGGGGAAACAGCATTTCCTGGGGCTACCCTCACACAGCCCCACATATAATGAAAACTTCAAGGCCTGCGCAACTATATAGAATAGCCTGTCAGAGGCCACTTTCCATAGAACCAACACATTTGGCATTAAGAAAATACTATTTTGAGATAATTACAGATTCATACGAAGTTGCAAAAATGGTAACAATTCTATGTATGCCTCTCCCACCCTCCAGCTGCCCCTAATGGTGATGTCATCCATAGTGAGAGCATGGTATGGAAACCAGGAAAGGGGAAACTGACATGGAGCTAAAACTCTTAACTCAACTACAGGACTTTATTCAGTCTGTCTATCTATCTATCTATCTATCTATCTATCTATCTATCTATCTATATTTGATTTATTTCAGAGAGGAAGGGAGAGGGAGAGAGAGATAGTAACATCAATGATGAGAGAGAATCATTGATCGGCTGCTTCCTGCACTCCCCCCCCCCTGGGGATGGAGCCCGAAACCTGGGAATGTGTCCTGACCAGGAATCAAACTGTGACCTCCTGGTTCATAGGTCAATGCTCAACCATTGAGCCATGTTGGCTGGGCCAGACTCCACCTCTTTCTTTGAGCACTTTTGTGTGTGTGCAGAGTTCTGTACAATTTTATCCTACGTTTTGTTTTAATCTCCGTGTTCTGTGTCTGGCTTATCCCGTGTGTGTGTGGTGCTTTAAGTATGAGATGCCTGGAAGCAGAAGGCGAATCCCTTTCCTGCGTGTGTGCGCGTCGGGTGTGGGGTGGGTAATTACTGTTGAGATCGCGGAACGGCATGCATTTTGATGATGGGTGCACATCCCTCTCCCAGTCAGAAGCCCGTCCCAGCGTTCGTCTGGGTGGCCTTCTCCAGGGGGACCTGGTTTGTTAAGGAGAAGGAGGCAGGGGGCACACACAGCCACAGTTTTGCTTTGCCTTCTATTTTGTCAAGATTTAATGATTCCATTTCGTGTTTGGCCAGATCACATATTTCTCATTAAAGAATGACTGGATTGCAAGCTGGAAGTTTTCAAATGAAGTCATTCACGGCCTGGCTGAGTTCTTGGGGCACCTGATCATAGCCTTATAATGTCTTTTCTTGGCCCTTCCCACATTCACAGGGCTCAGGTTTTTCTCCCCATTTCTTCGGACCGTGACTTGTGGGGGCGAGAACCGATCTAATGCAAGCATTACAGAGCAAAACCATTTCTAAGAGTCAGAGCCACTGAAAACGGCGGGGGGAGGGGGCTCGTGCAAACCAGCTCTGCTTACACGGCTGTGATTTGTTCACCATGAATGGGGAACATTTCCTCTCCCTCCCCACCTTTAAGAGAATCAAAAGAGCAGCCCTGTGGAAAGTGCCCATGACCTCTGTTCTCAACCTCAGCTGTGTGGGGGCCAGAGGTCAGGCCTCCGGCTTGGCTGTGCAGGGGCCAGGTGCCAGGCCTCTGGCTTGTTCTTTGCAGGGACTCCTGAAGAACGTGAGTCACGTCAGAACAACAAGATGGCATTAGGGAGCCGAGTGGCACCTTTCACGTCGTGTCCCTGCCTGTAGCCGGCACTGGTGGCAGGTGTGGGGAATGGTTTCTGTGTCAAGTGCCTGGTATCCTATATGAGGGCGCTGCCTCTGGACTGAAGTATCTCCTTTCTGCTTTCATTTTCTTTTTCCTTTATAAAGAGAGTGAGCCACAGTCCCCGTGCGTGGTGGTGCCGTGGGTAAGGCTGGAGTGACCGTGCACTAACGGCCAAGGCCAAGGCGAAGCTGTGCCCACACACACTCCTCTGCAGCTGATCTCCGTTGCCAGGACCTGCCCCAGGCCAGGCCGGGGGTCTGATTTTCGGTAGAGATGCAGCAGACCTTTGTCCAGCCCTGCTGCGAAAACTTACCCTGGGTCAGAAGTGGGCAGCCTCTCAGGACACCTGCGTGCCCGGGCTCGGCCTCCTGCATGCTGGTGCACCTGTTCCTGCTACATTCCAGGCGCATGGGCTGTAGGTGGCCAGGTACACCACGCCTGTGGCTCTACGTACTACTGTCCATTTCCTTAAGGGAGGGGACCAGGCCTTAGCTGTGGTCCCTCACCCATCACATGTGTGCCTGACTCATGTGTGAACTCACCCAGAGAGAGAAATCCACCACCCAGGCGGGTAGCTGTAGGCCCATCAGACTTCTCTTCCTATCCCGTCCTTCTGTGAGAGGCCAGCCAGGCCTGTTCCCTCTGTCTTCAGACTTTATGGCATATTCAGTTTCCTCTCACCACCTGCATTGCTGTCATGTGGTCTAAACCGCCTCGGTCTCTGTCTGGACTGTGGCCACGGCCTGCAGGTGGCCTCCCAGCTTTGCCTCCTCCCCCACATAGCAGCCAGTGCCAGCAGGTTCCACCACCTCCCGCGGGCAGTTGCTCCTATGCCAGTCACCAAAGGTCAGCCCGTGTCGCTTACCGTGGCTGGTGGAATCTGTTCCTGTCTCCTTCCCGCCCCATCTCCTGCCATGCTTCTCTTGCCCACCTGTTCTAGCCCCGGGAGCCTGTTTGCTTCTCCACGAATGTACCAAGTTCTTTCCTACTTTGGGGCATTTGCATTACTGTTCCCTCCTCCTAAGATGCTCCTGCCCCACCTCTCTTACCTCATCATACCTCTGCACAGATGGCATCTCATCAGACATGACTTCCCTGCCCACCTTATCTAAGACAGCGGCCCCACCCCTGCCACCCCACCCCGCTGTTATCACCTTTCTTTTCCTTCATCACCTTATTGCCACTGAACATTGTATGACTACCTGCTATTGCTTTTTGCTGGTTGCATGTCTTCATCCCAGAAACGCAAGCTCCACAAGGCCGGGGCCCTGGGATGTTTTGTTCCAGTGGCACAGCGCCTGTGGGTGTCAGGTGCACAGTGACTATTTGTCGCTTGAGTGATGAGACGGAGTAATGAATGCTCTTCGCCAAGGGGCAAGGACCTTTCTCTTATGCTTATGTGTGACCGTCACACTGTGACAGCACCCTCACTCTGCCGTGTTGCCACATTAGGGAGCGTGCGGGGGTCGGCGGTGGCTGCTCGCCTTCCCTGGGGCTCCATGCACACACTCACACTGCAGTTTCCCAGGTGGGGCCCCTGTGGGCTGTGCTGGTTGAGGCTGCAGCCTTCGGGCCAGCGATCCTCCTTTGCAGCCGCACGTGAGCTCGCCTGCACCCTGTGCGCCTGCCCTTGTACTTTGAGTCTGATTAGTTTGATTCTGCACCCCTATGCCTTGGCTAAAGCAGGTCCTTTGACCTGGATAGCTGCCACCCCTGACTCCCACTCCCCACCAACATCTCCCCCCATTGCCACCTGCCATGTCTTCCTGGCAAAATTATGCCCACATTTCAGTAGGCAGCTTGAATTTCAACCCTTCCCCCACCCCACCTCGAAGCATTTTTCTTTTCTTTCTTTTGGATCCCCACAATCAGAAATGAACTCTCCACCCTTTGGCCTCCCCCAGCCCTCTGTTGTTCCACCTCCCCATATGATGTGTGTCATGTTCAATTTAGACAAAGGTTGATTGAGTACCTGCTATGTACCAATTTCTTTACTAAATCTGGGCACTCAAAAATGCAGACACCATCTTTCCCTCTTTTTAGGTGATTATGCAGGAGGTACATACAGCTACCAATAGAATAGCTACTTCCCATTACTGCCAGGCACTGTGTGAAAGGCTTTCAGTGGGTATCTAATTTAGATCTGCCCAGTGCTCTGAGAGGTCATATTTACAGAGCAGGAAACTGACTCAGAGAGATAGAGTAATTT